AAGCTTAGGAAGTAAGGTTTAGAAGTTAGAGTTTTCGGTTTTGGGTTAGAGGTTTAGCGCTTAGGGTTTGGGTTTAGGGTTTAGGGCGGAGGGTTCGTCCGGCTCGTTCTTCTTAGCGACTGGGTAGGCACTTTGGATTCCTAGAATCCTGCTATTTTGAAAACGTGTAGACTTTTTCTGGCCTGGGGAACTGACCGACTAGCTCAAAAGTAAGGTTGCGCATTCCTCAGTGATTTTAAATGTAACACAGGTTTCCCATCAAAGACCCAGTCATAGAGTGGCCTGTTACCCTTGTACCCCTTAAGATCCCCACTACCCCTAGGGTTCAAGTTTTATGGGGTGGTGCAAGATTTCCTCCATCCACTGTAGGGCTTAGGTTTGAGTGTTCAGGGTTAGGTAGTCTAGTGATCAGGTTTTACACCCTAAGCCCCACACCCTATGGTAGGATTTATTCGGGTTCAGGGTTTAGCCAGTAGGAAATGTGGTGATCCTTGCAGCTTACTTTGGGGGCTCATTGGACTTGCTTACTACTGTTAACTGGGCTTAGGCTTGTAACCCACCCCATAATCCCCCTAAATGGGCTTCTAGGAGGTTACCCCAATTATAAGTAGGGTTCTAATCCCAATTCTAAGTAGTCACTAGGTCCCATGGGCCTGCAGGGAGGGATCAGGGCTGAGGGTTTAGGGGCGAGGGCGTGCAGTCATCGGGGTTGCTGCGTAGGGCTCAGGTATTAGAATTCAGTGAGTCGGGACGATGGTTTAGGAATTAGGGCTGAGGATGTAGGGCTCAGAGCTTAGGGCTGCGAGAATAGGGTATAGGGTTCAAGTGGCTTGTTCTTGGGGTTTAGGGGATCCGAGATGAAGGCTTTGGGATTAGGGCAGATTTACATTGATCAGCGCTAAGGAGGGGAATCCCAGAGAGCCCAGCTCCCTTCAAGTGGAATGTTCCTTATGAGTAGTATTTTATTTGGGGATACTATGGTACCCAATATAGAGTAAGATTATATCCTGCTTTTGGGTATAGTATTTTACATAAGGAGTGTAATCTTACTACGTTCAATCACCAAAAAAAACGCTACTCTTATGGTGTTAATGCGTAGTGATTACATTGAGGGAGTATCAAGCTCTTTGGACAAGTGGGAGGTAGGGGAACATTCAAGTTACATCTAGGTAAGACAGCATTGCCCCAATATTGTAGTTCCCTAAACCCTGAACCCTGAACCTTAAACCTAAAAGCCAGCAGCTCCTACAGCACAAGCCTAGCCTGGCCGACGCCGGCATTATCTTTGGTGGGTTTGACTGTACTGGAGCCAGGGAACCCTAAACCCTAGATCCTAAATCCTAAACGCTTAATCCCAGAGGCTCCAGCACAAGGTCGACAAAGGCAAGTTCTGCTCGTTATTACCATACCAACCTGTCGCGGTTCATCCTGGACCTATAGTGGTTCCTTAAATCCCCAACCCTGAGCCCTAAACCCCTAAATCTCGTGATCACGGCGCAAGGTCTACCCCTGACTCCCAATGGGTCCATGTAGCTATAGAGTATATACATCGGGCTAAAAGGAGTTCCGGTATAGCTACTTCAGGGCCCGATAATAGAGTATGTAGCGGGAACTGAAACTTGAAACCAAAACCATGTTTGTTACTGCTTTCATTGTCGTTCTGTACTAGGCCATGCTAGATTCGCAGAAGGAGTCTCTCAGTTTTTCCCCAGGGTCCGGAAACCAAGTTCCGAATATTGTGTTTGCAAAACTGAACCTACAAGCATCGCCACGACTCAGTCCTTAAAATGACAAGAACTCCCCGAAATGCTCCTGATACGGCGCCCGGCGAGATCCCAGTGTGGTCCCCATGTACCCCCAGCGCTCTCAGAAGCCTCCAAATTAAAACTCCCAAGTAGGTCTTGGGACCAGAGGTGTTGAAATCAGGCATGGCAGCCTTACTCCTGCTTGCTTGGAGATGTGGGAATGGATCCCTAGAGCATTTCCCCAAGCCTGAACTTTACATGCAAGGGTTAGCCAACAGTGTCTCACTGCAAGTTACAAGGAGCCACCTAACACTAAACGCTACAGTATAGGGCTGTGGTCTAGGGCTTCGTGCTCTAAAGCGCATCCCCCATTCCTAAGTAAGCATGACCATAGGGACCCAAGTACTCGAACATCAGGGCTTCATGTACCAGATACCGTTTAGGTTATAGCAATTGGAACTTAGGACCATCTTGAACATGGTTTGGGGTTCTGCGGCCAGGGCCTGGGCTTATGAGAGCTATAAGGGCTATAAGCATTATCCGTTAGGTGGAACCCGCACCCAGCAATAATGAGGGCCCTCTTATATTCCTATTTTACCACTATTGCAGGGTGGGGGGGGGTCCTCCCAAATTTTACGCTTAAACAGTTATAAGAGCTTCAGGGGCTCTCAGGGATATCATAGGGCTTACTCCCACCTCTCCAACAAAACATGAGTTTGCATCTTGCCTTCGCATTCGCCGCCGGAAAGAAAAAAAAACAGCACGTACTTGGAGGGTCAGGGGGACTTAGTAAGTAGGTTAATAACCCTTATAACCCATATATTAACCCTAACTATCCCCATTATCAACCCAGTTACTAAGTCCCCCTGACCCTCCAAGTAGCTTGCTGTTCTGGGAAGCCAAGGCGGCTTAGGCGTTTAGGGTTTAGGGTTTAGGGTTTGGGCTTTGAATTTTAGGGCTAGGGTGTAGGATTTACCTGGACTTTTCAAAAGCAGGTAAAGCAATGGCCCCAAACTTGTAAAGTACCCCCAAACAGCTCTTATTCTACGTGGTATTTTTCCAAAATAGAGGGACCCCAATATCGAGCCCAAAATACTGCAATCCTTATTGTTGGGATCCCGAAAAGGGACCCCACATTTGAGGAGACCCCCACATATGTTTGGGGGCCAGGTAGAGATTGGGGATGGGTGTTTAGAGATTTGAGACTTCGGCTTAAGGCCCCAGGGTCGATTTGAAAGATCACAGACCCAGGCACTTACATCACACATCCCTACACTGGCCGCAATACCTTCGTGGCCATGTATACCATCTCAACCCTAAACCTTAAACCTAGAGGCAGGGGGGGCTTACTGTACTACTATCGAGGTGGGGATGTTGTGTTGCTTGAATCTCAGTATGTGCCTGACGCAGGACCTCAGTTTTGAAAGGATGGTTGAAGGGTCATGGAGTTCATGGGTAGCGACATTAAAGACCGGAATTGTGACTTCCCTTGATGTGTTAAGACCGTAGTTATCCTGTTGACACGTTGCCACTCTACTACTCTTTAGATGCCTCACTTGTACAGTTAACAAAACCAGAGGACGGCAAGCCTCAACGGTCAGCATTCAGCTTAAAACAAAATTAGAGAGGCCCAGGGATACATAGAATTGGTGCCACATATCATAATCATGGTTTCAGGTATGGTCATCCTACTTTGTCCCATACTTGCCTCCTACCTACGTCACAGCATAGCTAGCATTGGCCTGGACGTGGTGGCTTCAGAGCGAGCAATTGCTGCAACTCGGGAAGGGGTAGTTCCTTGTCTGGGTACTTGTGTCGGGAATCGCAACAATTCCCCTACGTTCCCCAAAGTTAATGCCCTCCCCCCAACGGTAATAGTACTCCTGAGGGAAAGAGATAAAATCATTTTTGAGATTGGAAGATTTAAGATTCAAGCTTCAGCCAGGTCTCCCAACGCGCTTTCGCAATGTGCAGCCAAGCGCGTCCAGACAAGCGCTTCCGTACTCAATCCAGGAGACATCTCCCTGAAAGTGCCCAACACCTTGAGTTAAGGAAATACTCCAATGCCAACCAGGAAACTTACTGCCCACATTGCCCGGACTAGGAATCATTTCCAGTCTTCACATGAACTACAATCTAAACTCCTGAAAGGGGGTTATAGAAGGGATTACATAGGGGACGACTATAGGGGCTATAGAGGGGGATACTAGGAGTTTAGACTATAGCTCACATGAGATTCAATGTGTTGGGTAGTGTGTTTAGGTTGTGCGCCCCAGGCAAAGCCTGGGCTTACTTTGAAAGTCCAAGCCTGCCATGGCGTCACAGAAGCCCTACTGCCTCGGCCTTATCGCTGACATACAGCATCTTGGGATTTCTAAGTGGTTCAGGGTTTCAGGTTTAAGTCTTGAAGTTTAGAGTTTAGGGTCGGGTTACCACATTCCATTTTCTTTTTCACTATTACTAGCCCCCCTGACCCTCCGAGTAGATACTGCAGCCCAGCAGCTTCAATCCTCACTGGTCTGGTGTAAATGTCCCGTATTTCTCTAGGGCTCCCAGTTACCTAAATAATGGGAACTGGGTTCTATATACCTTATAGTTACATAGCCCAGTAGCCTACTATTCAGGTAACTGGGAGCCTCGGGTTCAGCAAGACCTCTTTTGTATGAGCGCGACTCATTAGCAGTATTGGCCCCACATAACCAAGGTATACCAGTCGCATGACATCCCAAAAGCCCCATCCTAATTCATTAGGCTCCTGCATTCATCGGTTCTCAGCTTAAGCCCTGAAGCCCGGCAAGCTACAGCACTACCCTGCAGTAAAACATGAGAATGGTTGGCTTTTGAAGGAATGTGCTCGTACAGACCCCTAGGGAGATATGTGAGGGTGATGAGGAGAGAACGGACTGATTGAGCGACTGACTGACTGACTGACTGACTGACTGACTCACTCACTCACTCACTCACTCACTCATGAGGAGAGTATAGGGTTGTGAGTTTTGAGGATGTCACGTTCTAGTGCAGCATTTGGGGATGATGCTCTGGGATGATGCAGAGGAGATTCTAGTCCATATGGTCCAGATACCTAGATAGTATGAAACCCAGGCCCCAAAGGAACTCACTGGAGGCCTCTTTCGGCCCTATGTGGACGCTTTGAGCTTCTTACACCATAAATAAAGGGAGTTCGTGCACGAAGCCGCAGTTCCTCTGCAATTGGCTTCACAAGAAGGAACCCAGCATTTCAGATAGGACGAACGCATGGGCATTTACCGGTCCATGAAGAGCACAGCAGACATCCACTTTTTAGAATCGTCGTTTGGGGTTGCAAGTGTTTCGTCCTGCGCAAGTTTTGGTGAGAATCGTCGCGCAGCACACGCAAACGTTGGAAAGTGCAAGGGCAGCACGAGAGCTTGTTGACTGAATCAACATGATTTTGTGTATGCCGATGCTGAGGTATGCAGACTGCGACGATGGCACTGATTTTTCCGGGAGTGAGCATCGGCACTTCCGCAACTCCTTGAACATTGCGCGCAACGCCGTCGAGTGCTGGAATGCTTCTCAGCGAAGTTTAGGTGCCCGTGAAACCAGGAACTGCCAGCAATCAGAAGAGGCTTCAACTTGGAACAGGTTTCAGAATTCCTGTTACTTATTCTTCCTAATATGAGGATGATAGTACCATGCAAGTAACAACTTGTGATAGCAGCTAACATGGACCTAAAAGCACCAGCAACTGCCTCAGTTGTCATGAAAGTAAGAGTAGCGCGACAATCTATGATACTATTTTGACTTGCATTTCTATATGTCTACCTTCCGTGCTTTTCCGATAAGGATGGATTGCAGTCCTGAAGCTCTCAACCCTACACTTTCACATGGGGCCCTTCTGTTTTGGGCGGCTTTGATGGCGTATTTGGAGTGCAAGTACGAATTTTGATGGGTCTGCGCGCAAGCTCGTGCAAGGGGGAGGCAAATTCTTGCACAAGGGTCAGATTATCTTCTTGTCCTCTTGAGCTGATTTTTTCTTAAAAGCCCAGCCAGCGCAAGCTGTTGCAAGAACCGCGCAAGGGCAAAGCGCAAGCATTCCGACTAGTAAGCGCAAGATAGAAGAAAAGAGAACAACCCCCACTTGAGAGTGTCTGGGAACAATCACAAGCCGTTTCAAGTCCCCGTATACCGCGGCTGTTCCTAGAAACCGCCGTTTGGAGATTGCCCCCCCGTGTGACTGCAGCTCAGTTCTGTTTGCCAAGAGTCTGGAGAGTTTCAGTGCAGGGTTGAAAAGGTTATATGGAGGTAGAGTTTGGGGATGAGGGTGTGGAGGTACAATGGGTTTAGCGATTAGAGTTGGAGGGTTTTGTTTCCAAATATACTTGGATTAGGAGGACGAAGGGCGATATGAAGATGTTGCGGCTGTCCCTCTTACGACTTCTACAAATTTGAGAAGGTCGTTTGATGAGCTCCCATGCCATGCTAAGGCGATGGACGTGGACGCAGCGTCTTGCCAATGATGATTAGGGACCCCTCCCGAGGTCCAGGGTCAGGGGGGCTTAGTAATAATGGAAAATGGAAACTACTATAACATAGGGTTATATAGAGATGATACTAGGGGTTATATTGGGATTATATAGTGGTAACGTAAAAGAAAATGGAAACTACTCTAATATAGGGTTTCATAGGGTTATATAGGGATGATATTAGGGGTTATCTTGGGATTATGTAGTAACAATGGAAAAGAAAATGGAAACTATTCCATGTAGGGTTTAGGGTTTAGGGTCAAGGGCACTTAGTAAGTATGTTAATAATGGTGCTGGGAGGGAGTGATCACATGGAATCCTATAACAACCTGCATATGATACCCAATACGGGTTCCTCTAACCCAGACCCCCATTCCCAACTAACCACCTGCAACCCTCAACCCTAAAGTCATATAGCAGCTTTCATCAAAGTACTGGGGAGACTTCTCCGGCTCATTCATTTGGGTGGTTGTCAAAATTATGGTCCCTTTTGGGATCCCTATTATAATACGGCACCTAATATTTAGGGTACCCAAAAAGGGACCACATTTTTGACAACCACCCATTTGTTTTTGGGCATTTTGAAGTCCTACTGCTCATGCCAAGCATCCCTCATGAGCTTAGTATACTGAACTCCTCGATCTCCCAGGTCAAAAAAGGTACTTAAGGCGGATGTTTCTTTGAAGCCTTGGACTTTACTATTTCTTATGAACTCGAGGTCCCCCTCCTGAACCGGTTTAGGATTTAGGTTCTGTTGCCAGACCCACCGAAAGACCGGCTCCTGCGTGTTCAAAGTCTTGGGTTCAGCTCCCACACGCTAGCTTAACAGGCCCCGGCCTTGCGGCCCAATGAACCCCGAAATGGCATCAGCCGTAGACATTATGATTAACCCTACGATTCTGCATGAGGGCTTTGTAGGGTCTGTGTAGAGTCTTGGAGGTAAAAACAAGCAATGAGGGTTTTGCCCCGGCCAAGACCAGGGATCAGCTGGTACTGCTACTGTAGAGCTATTATACTGGGCGAGCTTTACATGCGTATGCAGGTTGAACTTTAAACAATTTGTGGAATTCCTCTAGAGTTTTCAGATTTTGTTGGGGTTCCAACCAGGAAGAGGCTTCTCATCGCAGGGTGGAAAACAGATCGTTAGTGTCTACTACAAGTGATGCACGGTGAGAGACATTTCCTGCAAGCTGGAAAGCATACTTGGGGTGTCCTGCAAACGCATTTTTGCTCAGTAGACCCCAGCTCATAAGCGGCTAAAATGTTGGGGATGGTTTCAGGGCAGATTCAGTCTATAGCAGCACCGCTATCTCCACCAGGTTTTGTCCTCTTTGGGGCAACGTATGCACCCCATTACTTGTCCGCCCCTGAAGCAGACTGCACTTTAGGTGGTGCAGCTGGGAGACATCATTGACGGTTGCAACGCAAAGATGAATGGCAGTGAGACTGCCTTGGCTGCCGTTCTGGATGTGCTGGCAAGGCAGGGGGAATGATGGCACAGATATAGACCCACCTTGTGGTGCCCTGCGCCCGCAGCCCATCAATACATTCATGTCTTTATTGTTGTATGAGAGAACACGTTCATCAATAATTTTTGGGGGCGTCTAAAATACCACCCAGCTAGGGCTTAAACCCCAAACCCCAAACCCTGCACCCCAAACACCAAATCCTACAGCCTACTATAGCCCTTGGGATCCAAGTATACAAATATGATACCTACATTGGGCCCCAAAGTCTGTAAATATTACCTACATTGGGATATTCGGATCCCTAGGGTAGGGTTTGGGATTCAGGGGCCCTGCGCGGCGCTTCGACTTGATCGGCAACCACGAGCTCTACAACGTGAAGCTTGGTGACTACTTGAGTCATATGGATTGTAGCTATTTGGGCGGTATACAAGGTTTTCAGGTTAAGGCCTTTGTGTAAAAGCCAACTTTATGGAAGATGAGCTGGCAATAGAAAGTACTATATCTTTATTTGGCCCCTGAATTTCGGGGGGACTTGTCCGTGCAGGATTGGGGGTTAGGATTCAAGGAAATGGATTTCCGGGTCATTCGTTGAGTTTGGTATTTTGCGGGATCTGTTCCGGTCAAAGGCTGGCTTATAAGTGCACCTCAAAGAGGTGTAGACATTTCCGCGGGTTACGTAGACAACGGCTTCTGTTTTTGGGGCGATGTGTTGAAAAGATAATGTGGAAAACCATGGTCTGTGCATCTCAAAGGGGGAATACTCAGCCTCCCCCAAACTAACATGGAACCCTAAACCCTAACCCCTAACCCCACTCAGCCTCCCGCAAACTAACATGGAACCCTAAACCCTAAACCCTAACTCCCAAACCCTAAACCCCCAAACCCCCTCATGAATAATTTAGAAGGTTTCTTTCGGTTGATGCATTCGTTGCTTCTGCAAAGAGGCTGGGCTAGAGTTGGGTTTAGAGTTTCGGGTTTAGATGTTTAGGCTTTTTGCTTTGGAGTTTAGGGTGTTAGGTTAGGCTTTGGGCAGTAGGGTATAGGTTTTTGTGTTTAGATTTTAGGGCCTGGGCTTTAGGGTTTAGGTGTTTGTCGGCCTTCTGGCAGGCCTACATTCTATGCGGGGGCAGCGGAGTGGGCATGGTGCACTTTGAAAGCAGGCATTGAAACGCGGTTTAGGGGTTTAGAGTTTAGGGTTTAGTGGGATCCACATGCGCAAGCTAAGGCTTTCCTCCTTGCAATGAGCCTTTACCCAAAGGGTCCGTGTAGCTGTATAGTATATACGTATTTATGTGGGAACCCCTTCGGAACTTAAGTAGATACTTTACGCTAGGCCCTAAACCGTAGACCCTTGTGGGGTCGCCCCTTGCCCTAAACCTTAAACCCTAAATCCTAATCAAAGGAGCCGGGACAAGCTTGTTTCCTCCGGCCTGCGGTGTTTCGGGCCTGATGGATGCTTACCCGACTTTCAGCTTCGGTACGATCGTTTAGGGCTGAGGGCTTAGGGTTTAGGGTTCAGGGTTTAGGGTTTAGGGGTTCCTATATCAGAAATAAAGGGGAATACTATGGTGTTAGGGGTATCGAAGAATGGAAAATCAACGGTGAAAACTAAACGAAAATCAAGTGGAAGCTATGGTATATGTAGGGTTTATAGGGCCTTGGCTGATTTCTGAAGGTGCAGGAGTTATAGTGCGAGGAAGTAGGTAAATTGATGGCCCTAACCTTCAAGAAAACAGTCAGAAAAAAGGTTTTGATTGTTCGAAGCTCTGAACACCAAACCGCAAACCCAAGCTTGGAGCTCAAAAATCTACACCCCAAACCCTAGCCTGGAGCTCAACAATCTACACCCCAAACCCTGCTTTTGGAGTTCAGGTAGAGCCTAGGTCTAGTGCATTGCTTGTTAGCGGCAGGCCAGATGTAAAACCACTATAGAATCAGGGTTTAGTTTATGGTCTAGTCTGAGTTTAGGGGTTAGTTCAGGATGTAGGGTATAGGTATTAGGGTTGAGGATACGCTTTAGGCGTCCTGCTTCCATGCACCCCATACCAGATAGAGCATACCTGGAGTATTCTTGTGATAGTTCAGGATGTAAGGTATAGGTATTAGGGTTTAGGATAGGCTTTAGGCGTCCTGCTTCCATGCACCCAATACCAGATAGAGCATACCTGGAGTATTCTTGTGATAGTTCAGGATGTAAGGTATAGGTATTAGGGTTTAGGNNGTCTATAAATATAGGACCCCACTATTGACGTAAGCTGCTCCAATCCTTTTTATCCCAACCCCTCCTTGGAAACCACCATGTAAAGACCTTTATAGTGGCCCTGTTAAAGACTCGTAGTGGGTGGGGGCATTATCAAGCTGGAAAGTTCAGGCTTGGCTATAGGGATCATGTGGGGACATCGGGGATGTACAAGGTGGGGAGTAGTCCGATCTAATTTTGTCTTGCAGCCATGAATGTGGTCAAGGTACATCAAGCTTTAGAGTTGTGCATTTCTTGGGAAGGTTTGCTTGGTGGGTCTTGCATCAGCTGCATCAACTACCACATGGAGACTGTGCATCTTCCCTAGGTTCTAAGACCCACAATCAGCAAGAAGATAGGTCATAGACTGTTGCGGGGTGGGGGCATCCATGCATGCAAGTGTGATGAAAGGTATGCTGGATGCGATGTAGGAAATGCGGAGTGGGTTGCTTCCTCCCAGAAAGCCCAAGATTCCTCCATTAATTAGTTTATCTTCAAATGATACGTGTATACTTGAAATTCCAAAAGGATATTATTCCCTTAAGTGAAGTCTCTTGGGCTTCCTGGGAGGTGTCGAGGACTTACCTCCCCAACCCATGTTGAGCCATCCCACCATCTCAGGACAGACCTACTACTCAGCCGCTCGTCGAGCCTATGCTTTTATACGAGCTATACGAGCTATAATCTTAACTCCTTCAAGGAGGATAAAGGGGACTACCAGAGGGCTTATTACGGGGAATACTACGAGTTTAGACTGTAGCCCATATACTCGTGTCATTGGCCGTTGGTTTTCAAATTTAGCCCTGCTTGTCATTCTTGCACGACCTTATATGCCCAATCTCTAGAAATTGTGGTAGAACACTGTACCTCCCAGAGGGTCCAAGTATCAACAATGTGGGCTTTAAGGTCCCAATTATTATAACCTAAATGAGGCCTTGGTTGTTGAGTATTTGAGCCCCTTGAGCATAGGGTCCTGCAGCTTTTTGGCACCCAAGTGGCGTGTGATTAAGAAATGGCTTAGGATTCAGGGCATTTCGGGATCTTGATGATAGGGCGAGGAGTGTCTTGGGGATATGTAAGAGGGCCCTGGTTTCGGGAAAGCAGTACAGCAAGCATTCCCAGTAGAAGCCGCGCTTTCGACATTTTATTCCTTCTGGAAAACGCAAGCTGAGACCGTAAGGCCTCAATAGTGGCATAATGGTAATAAATAGTGGCCCTCAATGACCCTAATATAGTTATTATTATCCCTTGTGGTCACTATTAGTGGGTGGGAGGCCAAACAGATTCCCCTATTATGTTCAATGTCAGGCAAGTTGCTATGAGCTGGCGCCCAAAGCTTACCCATAAGGGTCCAAGTATAGCAGTTCTATGCCAGTTGGGCCCAAATGGGTTTCTATGTAGGTCCTTGGGGGCCAGGTGATTTGCTAAGTAGGAACTCGGACCTAAGGTCAGGGATTTGTGCTAGAGCTGAGGGGCTCCTGTTGTCGTGCCTCGTTCCCTTAAGACCCAAAACCCTAGACCCAAATCCACCAAACGCTAAACGCGGGCTTTGCTTCACATCCCGGAGGCCTAGAGGCCCATGCTGAAAACCTTCCGGTAATACCTAAACCTCAGGAATAACTGTCTTTCAGGCTACCTTGGGGTTGTGGTATTATTTTACCTACTTTTGGGGTCCATGTAATGCATAACCTTTACATCTCCCCTCAAACCGATCCAAAGGCTCACCTGGGAGACCGTTGGGAGGCCATTTTCCTAGATCCCTACGAGATCTCGTGACTTGAATGCACTTTATCTGGGTTGCTGTTAAGGAACTTAAATTAAGTTGCTATTACAACCCTATTATTTACTATGTGTACCCATTATGGTAACTTAATTTAAGTTCCTTAACAGCAACCCAGTTATCCTTGAAGCTTGGTGACACGATCATAGTTACTTTTGAGGGCTGAGGCATTCGTAGGGGTTGCGAGGCGAACGTCTTCTTTGACCATGACTGCCATGGTGACCAGTATGATGCAAAAACATAATATGCCTACAGCGAGACTAAGGAGGGTAGATATGCAGGCAACTATAGAGGTAGCTGTGCGGCAAGCTCTGCCACTACAGTTCGGAACTGTCTTACATAGGGACACGGCATCAGCTTGCTGGTGCAAGTCAAGCGTGGTGAAGCGTCCGAAGCCCGGGACATCCGGGTGTCAGACGCATCAAGGACATGTTGCCACCCGCCGCGAGTCCTAGCACAGGATGGCAATCGTCACGAATCACAATGTTGCACTTATATACTTTCATACGTAGTCAGACGTAGTCCCCCCTCCTAACAGTAGGGCATCCAGAAAATTAAAAACAGGCGTCCTCATTAAGTCTCCCCCGGTACTGAGGGCCCTGAGGAGGCGCTGAGGATTACTTCAAAAGGGGATGGTCTGGATTTGGTTAGCGGCCCAAAGCCAAAACACATTGAAAGAGAGTCGTGAAACAATAGGTCGAAACTGTTTAAGCGGCGGCCAGAACTCATTAAAGAGAGCCTCTTGGCAAAAGCGCAGTATTAACCATATCCCTAGGGGTCCAAGTAGCCCAATGTAGCTAATATCTACAGATTTCAGGGCCCCATGTAGGTATTATTTGTATACTTGGCTCCCTAGGGTATTCGTCAGATCCCCAACACATAATCCTGACCGGCAAGGCTCATCGGACAGTCACAGGAGGAGTCCTCGTTTCGTGAAGCTACGGAGACCATGCGCCAGCACAATCCGCGCCCCACCAGCACATGGGTATTCGTTTCTTGCTTTTCATAGCGAAAATTGTGCCATGATTTGTGTGGGAAACAGACCGACATATGCATACCAACTTGTTCGGACCAGGAGGATCACGGAGGGCATGCCATGGGGATTGCTAGATGAATGGCTACAACAAAGCTGCACAAGCTTGTTTTGACGAGGGTTCATTTGTGTTGCCCGTGCCGGAATCGCGGCTCAACAGCTGCATGCACCTATCGCGCTACTCCAGTAGTAGAGCATCAGAGATGGTGTATGGAGATTGCTAGATGCATTGTATGGACCATTCTGGGGCACAAAAAGGCCACACCCCCACACTGAATGAAGTATGGGGCTTACCTGTGTTTCCCAGCCTTTGGATCCCAAACACCTAAAAATACCGCAGGGGCGATGATATCACGGACATTCTAAAGTAATGCATGACCTTCATCCAAGGTTGGGGGTATATAGGGTCACCTAGGAAAAGCATCTTTCTGATACTCATGCTGACAGTATCAAGAGCAAGTATTACACAGGACGTATCTTGACAAACTGTACTGAGCTTCATCAAATCCGAGAATGGACTCCAAGATCTGTGGGTGGTTGCGAGTGGGGCTCTTGCTACATGAGCTATATAGTTAAAACTTTCAGTCGTGGGTAACCCCATCTGAGTCTTCAACCTGAAGCTATCCATGAATGGTAGCCTAGACATGCTAGATCCCCATGTAGACTTCACATGCAGCCTCCGTTTATTCCCATAATACGCAAAGTGCTCGCACGCATGAGAATTTCTTGCAGCAAACACACTCTACCTGGTGCTTTTCCACATTACCCTTCACTTTGTTCAGCACTCGCCACTGAAATGCATGTCTTCACGAATCAGGCGTTGTCTGTATCCCTGCAAAGCAGGAGAACCTTTGGAATAAGAAGCCCACGACCCTAAGTAATTGTCCTAAACCTGGGGAAGCATGGTGCAACCGTGTACGCAGTAGGGTCATGCAGGATTATAGCCTAGTATGTGTATTTCCTAAAACCCTCTATGTACGACATAATCCCTCATAAGGACCCCAAGTTCTTATGGAATCCTTCCCTATCCCTGAGCTCCCTGGGAGTCCACAATTTTGAGATCCACCCCTTCATGGCCCCTAGAACCTCAACCCTTAAGCTACCCTGACATCGCCCGGATACAGGGGCCCTGAAGAATTGCCAATGTTTTGGTTCTGGATTTCTTGCGCAATCCTAATCCCCAAACCCTAAACCCCAAACCCTCAACCCTAAACCCTCTACTCCTACAAACCATTCGTCTCAGGGGCGTCCTCAACGGCGCGAAGGACTGGTTCAAAGGTTTGCCCACTTCCAAGCATCGCTATGTGCCCTACAATGGCCACTGGCCAGTGGTTTAGGGTTATTTCGGGCGTGGATTTAGCGCGTTTAGGGTTTAGGATTTAGCGTCAAGGGTTTGGGATTCAGGGTTGCCTTGTGGCGCAATAATACCCCAAGAAAATGGAAACCAGGAGTTGTTGTGGAATTTAGAGTCTGTCAATAGTCTTAACTGCTACAGGGGCATGGGTCTTGCTTCTAGGGGCTGGCTTGTTGCTAGTATGGGGACGACGGTAGGCGTCAGTAAGTTCTAGGTTGAGGGTATGGGGAATTGGGCTCCAGGTGCAGGATGTAGGGTTTGGGGTAAAGGGCCACGAAGGGCTTCGGGTTCCGCATAAGGGCTCAGGGTAAAGCAGCAATGGTCAAGCAGTAACAGTCGCAACGGCCATACGGCATTCCCATGCCATTAACACTCCCACGACCAGACCTAATGCGAATATGCGGTACCCGCCACGTCAATTGTGGCCAGCTCTGCACCATTCCGGGCACCTTCAGGATTTGGGGTCTAGGTCTAATGTGATCCCAGCTCTCCTTTGATTATCCATCTTCTTGTCCATGTGATTCTCCATTATTGGGATAGTGCATCCCTATGTACCCATATGTAACGCCTATGCTGAGTTTTATACAGGATCAAAGCAAAGTGCCCCTGCCACCAGGATGCTATGTGAACTGCTGGAGGGCTACCATGGATTTGGTTTTCAAGTTCTCGTGACATTTGGAGGTTCAGGATAATTACAACCCCAATAGGGATATAGTTGGGTTATACTTTCCAGATAAGTTGAGGGTTTTGGGTTACAGGTTTCATTCAGGTTATACTTTCCGTGAACCTCCACTGTGGACACACGCGGCCCTGGGGTACACCGTGCAGCTGTATGGTATTCCACGACCATAGCTTCCCGTGACAACTTGTACGGAGTTGAAGGTTTAGGGATGCGGGTTTAAGAATATCACAGCCATAACTTCCTTTGGCAACTTGTAGGGAGTTTAGGGCTTAGGTGTTCACGGGTTTAAAGCTTGAACCCTCAACCATACAACCCAGGTGGCATCTCAAAGAAGCAGCTAAGCTGGCTGGAGAGTGCCAGAGCCCCATTCTTTTCTCCTGGTTTAGGGCTTTTCAGGGTTCATGGGTGTAGCATCAGGGTCCAGAGGATTAGGACTTAAGGTATAGAGATCTGTGACGATGATGGGCGATTTTTTGGTTACGGTTAATGTACCGAAAGCTCTAAAGGGTGCATGTAAGGCTTGACGGTATCCTGTTCAAGGGTGCAAGGTTTGAGCGCCAAGAAGGGCCGAGTCATTGAGAGGGTTCGATCTTCTGAGCATATTCCGAAGATATAGCTCTATCTACATGTACGTGTAGATACATACAACCCAAACCCTGAAACCTATGATATAAGTAGAGATGTTGTATATCCAATCCCAAAGAAGGATTCACAAAATCTTCCCCTGATCCATATATCTTCCCCGGTTGTTTATGGGGGCCCCTGGTTTTGCGAAACCCCAATCTTACCTCTGGTTAGTAGGGGATGAAGTAACCGAAAATGGAAACTATTTTAGTATTGGTTTTATGAAGGAACCACTGGGAGTATCCCAAGCCCTAACTGTAAAGATCCATTCCTTCATTTTTTGCTCCCACGAGACCCTAAAATCCCAAACCCCAAACCCTAAACCCTAACCCCCAAACCCTAAACCTTGAAATCCTAACCCCAAAGCCCTAACCTTGAAATCCCAAACCCCAAAACCCTAAAACTTGGAATCCTACGCCCCCAAATCCCTGGACCTCGAAATCCTAAGCCAGCCAAATTCTAAAGACCCCCAAACCCCAAGACCCTAAGCCCAGACTCCAGGCCCTGCGGGCCGCAGAGGCACCGAAGATCAGCGCAACAAAAACAGAAGGGTCGTTTAAGGGTTTAGGGTTCGGGGTTATAAGGTTCAGGGCTTCTGAATTTATCAATCAGGGTTGGGGGGGAGGGGAATTTAGGATGATTTGCTGCTCTAGGGTGTATGGTATAGGATGTTAGAGGTTGAGGTGTGGGGTTTGGGGGTTGACGAGCGTAGTGTAGGGTCACAGTAGATGCCTAAGACCCCAAAGTAGGTAAACTGATGGCGCTCTTGAAGCAGCCCAAAAGGCCATCATTTTATATGCAAACTTGGAGCACAGAGAGGTTTCTATGTAGGGCCCATGGGTGCAAGTAGACGCGATGCGGGCCGAGTACTGGTATGTTAAGGCACTGTTTACTCCATATTGAGGGGCTGGATTGGCCGATTTGTGGGTTTCCCACAAAAGGTTCGTGACGAGTTGGGGCAGGGTGCTGTTGAGCGGGCTCCAGGTGATAAATGACTTCCAAGAAAATCGCCAGCCTGTCTAGGGCTCGGCTGGTCCGCGTTTGGCCCTTTTCGGTACTTTCCGCTGGTGTTGTTGCGGCAAGGACGGCAACATTAGATACGATAAAAGCACTCCAACCATAAGCGCTTATGAGTCGATAGAAAGTTTTCACCCTTTGCCCGCCACATAGGGTCAAAGACTTTAAGTTTGTACCCTTAATGTTTGTACCCCTAAGTTTTGGGTCCCAAATACCCTGATTGATAATATTCCATGGTTTAGGGACCCAAAGCCCAAGGGTACAAACCCTAAGGGTACAAAGGAAAACTACCTGATAGGGTCACATAGGCTTCATACTCAGCATTCCTAGCCATCGTGGCTATAGCTGATGCTGTGTGAGCAAAGAGAGCTTGTTCCACTCATGGAGGCCAGCGGCAGCTTTAGCTGCATTACCCAAACCACAAAAGAAGGTAAAATAATAGCCCAAAACCACTAAAACAGCCCAAAGGGCTATTATTCTACATATTTTTGGGGTTCTGGTAATAGTAGAAAGAATACCAACATTTGCGCTGCCAAAGTTTTGGATGTTGGAGAGTTCTTTTTGTCAGTATGTGGCATTCATGGTTTTGCCGCGCTGCCTGTTGAGATACAGGGCCACCAACTCTGCAGCAAGCCATGATAGGAAAAACGGGCGTGTAACATTTTTCCATGCCTCCATTACATACTAAGTTTCCCTGACCCTTCAAGTACACTACGCAGGGCAGGGATTATGCAACCGCAGAACCTCGTCTGATCCAGGTCTGATCCAGGTGTGCTGCATGACCAACGCTGTTTGGATGTTCACTTCTGCCAAGGGCTGGCGACTTTGTTCCGGCTCCCTGGGCTCGTCCTTTGCTGTCGGACGCATCCGACTACAAAGACGAGGACATCTACCCAGTGGATGCTGAATTCTTCGCGGGCCCGACCGGCTATGAGCGGATCCCTGATCCTTTCGCGGAAGGCCGCTTGAATTGTGCTGCTCCTGGCTGAGTTTCTTCAATCTGTCCAGATGTGTCAGTCACAACAGCAGGCTCCGTTGGCGACGATGAACAGGAGAGGGCATGAATCTTAGAAGTGCAGCAGTTTGTGTAGCTTTTGGGCACAAACCGAAGCGAGCCTGCTATAGCAACATTCGACTTCCGCCACCCGGCAGAACGGGGAATGTACTATAGCAACTGCTATGCTATGCCTTTTTTGTGTTTGTTTCTTATGTGTTCGGTTATGTTATGTGCCGTCTATTGCGCTTGCTGGAGCTCTTCCGTCTACCGCGCAGCTGCGCTTGCAGGAGAAGATTAGATTTGCACTGTTTTTTGGATGGGATCAAAGATCAAACTTGCAGCACAGCCCAACGGCACCTGAGGCCAGCAGAGTCGCAGCCGCAGCCAGTGAGTGGGGCGCCGATACCTGAGTAAAGCATCTCTTCCCTGACACTCCAAAGTCATGAAATGGAGCATAAATTCGCGAACGCGTGCCTCAGAACACGCCTTGGCCGTCAAACCAGGATCCGACAGCAAAGTCCGACAAGCCTGAACATGGGCTTCAAAATCGACAGTGGGTGGACGGACCATTATTCTTAAACAGCAAAGCTATGGCACCACACTTTCTAGATAGATGTTGCACTGTATAGTGGGCTTCTAGTTGGCATCCAATATGCTGACTACCATGCGGATTAGATACAAGTACATGTATGCACGCGCTATAGCCGTATGTGGTCCTTTACCCACGTACAGTCATGCGGGAAGGCTTGTCGCACCCTCGCATTGCTCTAGCATGCTGAGGCTAATTTCCCGCAGAGGCGACGTGGTCTAGCGCCCAAACTGGAGGTGCCAGCATGGAGAGTCAGCGTCATCGAGGACGCAAAAGCCAATGACACGATGCTGTGACTGCCGCCGGCCGCTAGCCGCAGCCTGATTTGCTCCAGCATTACCGGAAAACACTTCCTTCTCACACTTTGCAATGGAGCTCAGCATGCAAGTCCACAGGTCTGTACTTGTGGCTTTATCTGAAGCCTTCGGTGACGAATGGTCGAGCCGTTCGCACAGTGAGTGGGTGCAAACACTCAGGGCGCAGAACCCTTCTGTCACCAGTCGCGTGACAAAGGAAGTTTTACTTCCTAATGGGGCCATCACATGGGTCAGTTCCGATGCCCAGGGCGACTTCATCTTTACGGGACAGGAGGCCAGGGATCCGCGAAAGCATGCCCAGCCAGCACGAAACTTCAGGCAATTTCAACATCGGAGTCAGAGCTGCGGCTGCAGAGACGGTCATCGAGTCGTAGGTAATTTCTGAGCGCCGGTGCTACTCAGCTCTTTTCTCGCAGGCCTAAGCCCTTAAACCAAAGTCTAAGCCCTCAAATACCTTAAGCCCTCAAATTACTGGTGGCCAGTAGGGAATAAATAAGGGAATATACTCCATATATAATTCCTCTATTACTCTGACATATTCCCTTATTCCCTTAACCCCTAAAACCTAGAATATATTCCCTCATTCCTTAACCAATCAGTCAATCATGTCTTCAGGCACAGGACCGAAAAGTCCTTGTTTTCCTTCACGTGCCCCTGTATGAGCCCGCCACCAAAGCCAGGCTCTCCGTCAGCAATTTTGGGGTTTAGTTTAGGGCTTGGGCTAGCTTTAGGGCTCATAAGGGCTTCAAAGGTATATACCTCAAGAATGGAGACTGGAGCATGACATGGAATTTGGGGTTACATAGGAGCTTGATGTCCTTGATGTTTTGGGTTGGCCCCCCAGCTAGTAAAATAGTGATATAACAGAAATAGTTAGGCACCCTAGTATGATTGCAAGGATCCCTGGCGTTCACTCTTGGTGTTGAGGGCCCAGCCAAAGGTTAGTTTAGGGCTTACAGGGCTAGGAGCTCAGAATTTAGGGTTTAGGGCATAGTGCTTAGTTTGCTTTGTCATAGGTCTTTGCGATGCGAGCACCATGTTTTGATGTGCGTGGATTCGAGGAGGGTTTCCTGCGTTTCAGACAGGAAGAGGACATTTTACGGGAATTTCAAGAAACCCTAAACCGCAAACTTAAGCAGGGCGCTTGTTCTCAGGACCCCGCTGATAATGCTCAGTGAGACTGTAGGTTTTCAGCATAGAAACTATGGAGCTTGAAACAAGCAAGCAGCAGCTATATCCATCTCTAACAGCGTGCCAGCTAAGGTGCTAGCACGAGGTATCATTCATTATGTGTCCTTTTCAACCCCCCCCGGAGGGTGTGTGTCTATACGTACATGTGTACAACAACGTTTTGCAGAAAGATCTTAGAGAGCGACAGCTAGGCAATTTCGGGGGAACTTTTGGCTGTTAACTTTCGGCTGTATAGTGGGGATTTGAGGTTGGGTATAGACCTTCTTGCAAACTACCCGGATGTGCGGGCAGAGAGACGGGCCGTGAAGTAGATGGCTACGGCGGGCCTATGAAACGCAGCTGTTCATTCTGAAGTCGTGCACACCCGGATATGGGAGTCTTCACACAACCGAAGGACACTCCCTTTTTGGTTCTTCACTAGCCAACCCCCCAAACCCTGAACAGTGGATTGCGAATGGGACCATCGCAATTCACAACGCCAACAACATTCTAGCTATCCCACAGCTATCTCTGGGTCTACGTTTGAACGCTCCTTATAGGTGTCTATTAAGCCCTAAGCTGCCATCACCGCCGCGCCTAAGACCCCAAACCCTTCGACAAAGTACATGCTCTTCAACTGCTGGGCCGCAAATTCCCTAGTGCCCTAGGCCTTGGACCCAGAAACCTGAACCCCCAACCTTTTCACATCAACCCTACACCCCGCACCCAAAACCCTAAACGGGAAAAGGTCCGCCAAAAACAGAACAAAACCCTGAACCCCAAACCCCAGACCACGATCCCTAAACCGTGAACCCTAGATCCTATCCCTGAACCCCGGAACATGAACCCAAAAACCCTACATACTAAACACGAGATTCCCCTGATCGCGGCACCTACACCCTGAACCCTATCGACCCTAAACCTGATTCAGGACCGTGGTGTGGAACTCGGAGGCCTCTCCGGCAGTGCGAAGTTGTCATCAACGGTTTAGGGTGTAGGGTTTAGGGTTTAGGGTTAATAGGGTTTTGGCCCTTAAGGGTTTGGAGCTTATGGTTTCAGGTTGTGCTTCATTGCTAGGGCATGGAAAGGCAAATTATGGAGACCTTAGGTCCCTTTAAAGGGGGTCAAAGGGATATATAGGGTTTCAGAACAGTTCGAGATAGTCAAGAATCAAAAGAAAGAGCAAACTTTTGTAGGGATACGTGGAGTTGAGGGTCTAGGGTCATATTACAACCCCAGCACCCCCCAACAATTCCAGACATTCACAATACAATATGATATGCCAGAATGGAATATTCTGTGTTAGGGGTGAGGGGTGCAATACTAGGGGGGTTAATAAGGAATGCATGAAGATACGGAAAAAGAAAACAATAACTACTCTTTAACATTCAGGGACTGGAGATAACCTAGCATGGCATGTCTCGTATTCTTGTGGATGATTTAGGGCATGGAAGAATGGAAGCAAAAGAGGGAACTACCCCTTATGCAAAAAGGGGATGAAGGCTTGGGGTTCGGGTGCAGTGAACGGAAATGAAACTGCAACTACTGCATTGCTTGGGAATATAAAGGGTCTTCTATAGGGTTCCATTCCTCCATTCCCCATCGGCAACCAGTAAGTCAGGGGAGAAATTTTGGCAAACCATCCGCGCAGCAGGGGGCAGCCTACCTCAAGTTTACCTTCTGCGTTTTAGGTCAGTTGTGCCCAAGTTTTCTTCCTACCCAAGACCACAAGGCCTCAACCCCGAATCCTGCAGCGAAAGCTCTCCTCCTCACAACTCTTGGAGCTGCTGGAGTCTGGGGTATGCAGGGTTTGGAGCGCCATGCCTCTCAGGAGGGATAAAATCCCACATGCAGGCTACCGCCTGAAACTGCACGACTTTCATTCAATCCTTCAAAGGACCTCAAGAGCACTGGCCACAAGCGGATCAGAACTTGACGTTTGCGCGGGGCCTCATGAAGGAACGTGATGTCTTCCAGGACACCAAACGCCCTGGTACAAGAGATCTGTGTAGGTTCTATTTGGGGTATCTGGGATATATAGAGCCTGGTTGGAGGTCTAGCTTTCCTAGCCATAGCCCTTCATCGATTCAAAAGGATGCAAGGACAAGCTAGTCCTCCGCAACTGTTGCATGATGTGCTCGTACTAGGCGATTGCGAAATCCAGGGTCATATAGAGGCTACATAGCTATAGGGATTAAATAGGGATAGTGGAAAAGGCAATGGAAACTACTATAATGTAATAGGGTTATATAGGAGTTAGGTTTTCAAGCCAGTTTTCGTGTTATTGTACGTCTAACACGCCTGGCAGCGCTTGGAAGTTAATGGGCGGATGCAAGGCTGCGTTTCCAGTCGGATTGCAGTCAGAATCGAATGCCTTCTACCCCCAACCCCGCACAGCTTCTAGATAGCCTCCTAGATAGGTATACAAGACACAGCAGACATTACTTGCCTTAGAATGGGCTGAACCCTAAACTCCCCAAAAGCGTCTGAGAAGCCTGGGAAGGAAGTCCTTGGAATTCTGCACTCCCATCACGAATCCGTGATCGCTGTTTTTGCAGGGCATGATCATGATGGAGGCCTTGCTACTGTGGGGGTTAGACTTCTGGCTTGGGGTTGGAAAATCCATGTAAAGTCATTCTGAAGTAGCCAAAAGGGGTCATGGTGAGGGTCGTTTGGTAACGGCACTGACGCGTTGAAGAAGTCTATGAGAATTGAGGGCCCCATCCTCTTTGGCTTCCACCCCTCTTGTCGATTTCGCCCATACATCCAGGCAAAAGCCATGAAAACAGGAGGCTCTAGATGTAAAGGCCCGAATTTCATGGGTTCTCCTGCCACCCCCAGGTTTCATTCGCAACGTCGCCTAGGGGTAGTTGGGGGTTTTCTGCGCATCTCTGAGAGTATGGTTCTCAAGGTAGCTTGATGGAAAGAGACAGAAAGCATTGTCATCACAAATTCACCCTTATATGTACAAGCATGTGAATGATGTTGTTGCTGCGGCTGGTCATGATTTTGCTTACTATCACTTTAACAGTGGTCAGCCCCTGAAAGAGAAGCATGTGATTGGGCAGGCTATGCTGTAGACGCGGCAGGCCAGAAGGTTTTCATAAAGGTTTCATATTTTGTTGAGGTGGGTTCAGGGTTTTGGGTGTGAGGATCTGCTTGGCAAGCCCATTTGGATGTTAACGTTTCAAGCAGGACTTTTCGACAATCTCTCCTGGCTTGAGCGTCTGCGGGGTGTTGCGGAAGCTCTGACTGTGCAATCCTTTGATTTAGGGGCTTCCAGAAAGTGAATCACTTTACCAGGGTCTAGCCGTGAGGAAGGGCTATGTCAAGGGTGTAGCCCCAAACTGCTTGGAGGGTACAGGGTCTCAGGGTGGAGGGCTTCAGGAAGTTGAGGCCCGAGGTCCATCAAAATCAATGCCGGCATGGCTTACAGATCATTTCCACCCCCTTTGGGAGCTAATGACAACATTATTGTTACCCTGGGACCCAGGGCATACTAGGTGGTGTACCTAGTGTTCCTGCTGATAATTGCACAGCATACCGGCCCAGTAGGAGTTTAAGGTATCGAGGATCGTCACTACGGCCGTCCTATTTCTAAGCGATTTTAAGCCAACTGTAAACTGACCCCGAGCCTCCAAGTAATAGCTGCTCTGCTAGAAAAACACAGATAGATGCAAGTCACTAGCGGAAATCAAGGGAGATGCTGAGTCACCGCATTGATGAGGGTCAGAAAGCAGCGACCTTCTAGAAAGGTGTGAAGACAAAGAATAAAGAAACACTGCCCGCATCTATAGCAGGAATAGTACTAGCCAAAGGAGTAAACCCTAAACCCTGAACCCTAAACCCCGACACCCTACACCCATAGTAGCAGTTGTAGAAATAGCAGCAGAGTCCTAACTGGAGGATTCCTCCTCTGTGACAGGCAGACCCGAACAACGCTCACTCAGTCCCTATCTAGTCTTCTTTGTTGGGTTCTCAGGCCTCCCAGAAATCCGTCTATTCAAGACAATATATCCCCAATAGAATCTCTATATAACCCCTATGTAACCACAACATAACCGCTTTGAAGGGACCTGGGGTTTCCATGTTGTTTTCGATTGTCTTTTCCACTTGATTCTCCATTAGTGGGGTAGTACGTATTTGGAGTAAGGCAAGTTGCCAGCTCCTATCGGAAAATAGCATGGAAACTACTATAGTAAAATGGGGTAATAACGGGCAGCAAATGCAAGTTAGCCCCACACCGTATTCTCCTACTGTAGGCCTCTATACCCTTAAGCGGCCCCAAAGGCATACTATTATAAGCCCTAAACCCCAAAACCCCTAAACCCTAAACCCCTCACCCCAAAGGCATACACCACATCACCATGAACTCGCCCTTGACGGCCGAGCCCGGCAGTGACTGTTATGCAGTGCTGGAGTGCCATCCAGTAGCTCACAAGCATTGGGTTTAGGGTTTAGGGGTT